GCCTGGGCTTTCTTCCCTTTAAAAATTGATATGTTTAAATCATGTCTTAAATTGGATGACTGGCAGGTAAACAAATCCTGGGTTTTTTCTTCTAGTGAAGTCTTAGCTCCCTGTGTGTCCTCTGCCTATGAGGAGCCACTCAATCCCTGGGGAGCCAGAAACTGGGCAGAGGAGGCTACAGCAGGAATATTAACCCACAGATGTATAGTGATGGCTATTGTGCTGCACTGTGGGGCTGGGGGCAGGGTGTGAGCCAGCACTGCCTAGCTGAGCAAAATGAGGGCAGACTGGCAAGGATGACTCTGAGCTGGTGGGCTGCTGGCATGGCAGGTGGCTGCCTGGTAGGTCAGGAAGAGCATTGGCACAGGCTTAGAGGAAAGGAACTGGCATTGTAAGAATAAAGTTGGGAGTTTGTTCCTTGTCAATCTAAGGTTACAAATAAAAAGAATTTGGTGTTTGCTTTGAATATTGTTGCAAAGATAAGCACTTCCCACTTACTTCGTTCCTGGAAATCATCCAGAAATACCAAGAAGAATGAAAAATAAAATGGCCAACTTTTGTTTTGGCAAAACTGAAGTAGAGCTAAACCCAAAACCCAAGCAGGGGGCCAAGGGCCCACATTGAAGGTGGAGTATGTGGTTCAGAGCCACAGCAAAGAGCTCCAAGAGAGAGCCACCTGTGTCAAACCCACCCCAAGGGTGGGAGCCTTTGTGAGATGTGGTCCTGACTCCCCATTTTGCAGCTTTGGAGCAAGGACATGCAGAGGAGCTATGTGAGGGGTCCATGCATACTTGTGCTTGAAGCAGGAAGTGCAGCTGTCACAACGAGAAGAGAGCCCCTCACCCAGAGGGAAGTAGTGGCTCTGACTGAACTTGCCACAGATCCACTTGGGACAGAGGAAAGAAAATGGCTCTATCCAACCTCAGTGCAGCTTCAGGAGCCAGCAAAGCTGGATCTGATTAAAAAGTCACTTTCAGAGATGAGCGATGAAGGTCATGTTGTTTAAGTTTATGAGATAAAAGGAGAGAAATAGGAAAAACAGGATAGCAAAGCTTATGGAAGAAGAAGTTGACCTCAAGCAGATGAAGATGTATCCACACATTTTGCCAAGAAATGGAGGTTAGCAATCCTGCTGATTCCAAAACTGGAGTAAAGTGTGGTGTCTAGATAGAGGAGAAGGTGCAGCCATGGCTGGGTGTCCTCAGGCAGGGTAGACGACAAGAGTGAGTAGGAAGGTGGGTGGGAAGAGCTCACAGAGAGGAGGTGCTTGCAAAACTCAGAAAGAGCCGGCTGCAGGAACACTGCCTGTTTAATTGGAAGATTCAGTGAAGGTAGAAAGAAAAAACTAACGATGTAAATATTATGGGTTTCGGTGGATTTGTGTACTGAATAAAAAGTGTTGAGACAGAGGATGAAGAAGCAAAACAGAATGAGTTTCTCACCATCAGTAGCTAAAGATGAAAACATATCCTGCTGAGGTAGCATCAAGTAGTAGGAGTGTGTTTAACTGTGTATTAGGCATCTCCACAGGACCATAAGACAACAGGATCTGTCTGTCTAGAGAGGTTGATCAGAAGAGCTGGGCTCATGTGACCATGGAGGCTGAGAGTCCCATGGCTGAGGGGATCATGTAATTGTGGGCCCTGGGAGTCTCTGCACCTGCCAAAGGGAGTTCTAGAAGAGCCAGTGTTGAAGTTCAGCTGGAGGCTGACAATCTGTGATGCAGGGAAGCTGATGATAGGGATCCCGTCTTCCCCCTGCCCAGCCCAGAGCAAGGGAAGATGAGCTATGAGATGTCCTAGCACAAGCAGTGAGAAAGGAAGAAGGAATCCCTCCACCTTCCTTCCTTGTTCTGTTCAACCCTAGCAGGGTGGGTGCTGCTGCCCACGTTGGGAAGGGCAGTCTCCTGAGTCTCCTGATTCTAATGCTGATCCACCCATAGATCCCCAGATATGGGATTCACATGGGTACTTCTGGCCCAGCCAAGTGGATGTGTGGAGTTGACCAACACAAACTATATAAAAGTGAACCTTCAAAAGGGTGAAATATTTGACTAGACATTCAACAGAATGTGTAGTTGGTACAGCTTAACACAGGAAAGTATGGGCACAATACAAAGATAAGAGTTAAAAAAGCAACCAGTGCAAAAAAGTGCACACTGTTTGAAATATTAAGAGAATTACACCTAAACCAGTAAGCAAGATGTCTTAGTTACTTTTCTCTCATTGCTGAGACAAAATACCCAACGCCCAAAATTAAGGAAGGAAAGGTTTAGTTAGCTTACAGTTTGTGGAGGTTTCGGTCCATACTCCGTTGGCTCCGAGGCAAAGTGGCACGTGGCACAGGGCAACTGTTCATGGCGGCAGAACACAGCAAAAACAACAAGAGCAAAAGGGAAGAATGGCGGCAGGCAGCCTCTTTCCCTCCCTGACAAATAAACAGGCTACCCCCACCCAGGGGTCATGTAGCACTCACATAGTCTTTGCCTTCCTCTTCCACAGGCTCAGGATGTATACAAAGTAAGCACCCTGGCTCCCTGCTGAGTCACTTAGCCAAACCTCTAGACTCCCCAACTTGACACAATGTATCAACCATAACACAAGATTAAAATGCTACACAAGATTAAAAAGCTATAAAAAGATAAAGCATAAGAACATAATACAATAGAAATAAATGCAAACACATCAAAATATAAATGGGCTAAACTCCCCTACTAGAAGGAAAAGACTTTCTAGGAAAGTTGGGATTTGTGTCCACAGAGGCCACCTGGCAGTCGTAAACACAGAAGCAGGAGGTCTGAGTTTGCACTGTAAAGTATTGTGGAAAATGGACTGGCATGTCTCAGTGCTGTTGGTATGGATCTGTGTGGGAGAAGATAGCACCAACACCCAGGAAGCACAGAAAACTGAAAGCCAAGGGGAGATCCAGCCTCCCCAGACTATGGTGTGATAAAATTTGAAATCAAGAACAGGACCAGAAAAACAAAAAGTTCCTAGCTTGGGAATTCAAAAACAAACAGAACAAAACATTCTGTCTTAAAATTTTGGTTGATAGAAAGAAATATAACTCAAAAGTACATAAAATCTGGAAAATAGTCCTAGTAAAAGCACTCATCAGAGCCAATGGAAAACATTTAAATTCATAATTTAAATACCATGAAACAATACATGAACTCAGGCCAGGCATGGTGGCAAAGGCCTATAATCCCAGCACTCAGGTGTCTGAGGCAGGAGGATCATTGCAAGTTCGAGACCAGCCGGAGCTACAAAGTGAGCTCAAGGCCAGCCTGAATTGGACAACGAAACCCTGTCTCAAAAAGAAGCACCCCCCCCCGCAAAAAAATGGACTCACCTCCAGCCACAAGAGTGAGAGACCAAGTGAGAGAAACCCCAGAAAGACAAGAGTTAGGGTTTTGTAAAGGCCAAACAGAGGCTAATAGAGAAGAGGGGGAAAAAGAAATAATAAATGAGTCCACATGGCTGTTGTTGGAAATGAAGCCAATGAAACGATGAATTATTCACAATTCTGGTAAAAAGTTAATAGATAGCATCACCGCCCAAAATAAAAAGTAGGACTGATTACCTTGGCATTGTACGTGGCTGGGCAGGGCTGCACAGGCATCTTGTGCACCTGTGCTGTGTGTGTCGTGCTCCCAAGGTAAGGTAAATGACAGCAAAATGAATCCTAAAAGAATATTATTTCTACATGTCTTCTGTAAAAAGGAATTATGAATTATTATATCACAGCTCCCTTTAAATAAGCACAAACATCCAAAATAGATGGTATTTTCCTAGAAAGTTGTTTATCAGTATGGACTCCAGAAGAGGAAATTTTAAACAGGCCACTGAAATAGTATGAAGTTGTCACAAAGCAGTCATTGCCGCTGTGCCCCTCTCTCCCCAAGAAAGCAGTGGGAGTGCATCAAGAGAGCCCACCCCTGGGCTGCAAGGTGTCAGCGTGCAGGTGCCTCTGTGGGCCTGGAATGGTTCCGAGCACAAAGGAAGGAGGGAGCCCCTTGGGGGTGAACAACATGTCTGCACCAGTGACTGCAGAGATGCCACAAGCCTGTGTGCATGTGTACGCACCGCACACACTTACCACAGAACCCTGCTGGTGATGATCAGGGTCAGTGTGCTAGGAATAAGAGCAAGTGGCACCTTAAAATGGAGGGTCCTGCTCTGTCCTGTGCTGCTCTAACAGTACCTGAGATTGGTTGATTTATAATGAACATAAACTTATTTGGCCCACAGTTAACGTCCAAGGTTGAAGGCCTGCCTCTGGCAAGGAAGTCAGGAGGGTGCTGGGATCTGAGGGCTGGCCTGGGGCTGTGACACAGACCTGGAGTCCCTCCTGAAGCTGCAGTGGTCCTTCCAGGGTGTTGGCCTTGGGATCACTGGGTTCTTAGTGAGTCTGTATCTCACTGGAAGGAGGGGCCTATGGGTGCCCAGGGACCCAGGTTGGCCCTGGGTGAGTATCTGCTGGCACTTACGTGGCCCCTGGCCAGCGATCTGCCTGCCTCTGTCTGCTCCCGTGCCCTGCTCCTCTGCAGCTTGTGTCTGTCTGGCTCCCAGGTGTGCCAGAGCAGCTGCCATCCACCTTCCAGGCAAGGCAGGTGGCTCAGGCCATTCTGTGGAGGAATCTGAAGTAGCAAAATAAATAAAATACTGTGATTGCTCAGTCAAAGGCCTGGTAAACTTAGAGCATTCTTTCCAGCTGTCATGTCACTCTTTGCCCCGGAGATTTTGATATTTCCCCTTAGCAGCCCCCAGAATGGTGTGTCTCAGTGGCTAATCTGCAAGCAGAAGCAGTGAGGAGGAGAAAGGGCTATATTTGTACAACATAGTGCACCTATAGGCCAGTGGGTTCAGGTCCCAGGGAAATGGTCATTCTGCCCTAGATGACCAGCACAGGGTGGAGGTCCTGTTGTTGGGATGCATAAGGCCATGGGTGCATGGCAGACATGTGCAACCCTGCACTACTGACTGCTCTTTTTCTCACAGCTGGAGATGGAGCTGAAGATGCTAAAGTCTCAGCCGAACACTGCTGAGCCAAGCTTTGCATTCTGCAGAGAGGAGGTGGATACACTCAGGTTGGTCCCTTGCTCCGAGCTGCCTGCTTCCCATGTGTCATCCCCCGACAGCTGGGGTCTGCTTGAGCCCCTGCCTCTGTTCCTCCTGAGAGCGTCTGTGTTTCTGTCTTGTTCAGCCCACTTCAGTTCCTCTCTGCAGAGCCTGGTCTCTGTTGGGCTGGACCTTTTTAGTATCCCTTCCATGGCCAGCACTGACAGCCAGGCTGTGAACAACCCTGCACTCAGGAGCAAGCAGACACCTCTGGGGGACCGCCTGTGCTGCCAACAGGGGGAACCGGCCCATCACCTGCATGCCAGCTCCAGGGGCAGCACAAGCAGTGGTGTGTTGAGGGACACAGACTCACATATTTAGAGAGAATGTCACAGAAGCAGCAGCTAGACCAGACATACTTCACACATGTCCACCGAGACCCTCGGTCCACATTTCAAGAGGAGCTCAATATGCTGTGACCTGTCGTTCTTCCCAGAGCTTCTTGTTTCCCTTCTCCCCATAGCCAAATCAAGGTCCTAAAGAAAGACATCCTGGAGCCAGGAGTACAGGGCTCTGAGAAGCCCCTCCTAACTCTTCGAGCCATGTTGGCCCTGCAGATTCAATTTCTATTTGAAGTGGCCATGGGTGCATTACCAGCATCCTCCTGGCATCCTCCTGGTGGGAGGGACAGCTTAGGATAAGGAGTATGGTAGAGTGGCTGCCTGCCCCTCACTGGAACATCTACCGTGGGCCAGGCACTGGACATCCTGGGCTTTCCGTGGTAGAGCTGCTTCTGATGGGTGAGAAGAAATGGGCCTGGGAACCCCAGCAGCCCTGGTAGGCACTTAGTTACCACTTCATGAAGAGGCATGGACTGCTTGGGAGTAGCCCTCCCTGGACAAGGCTGCTGAGTTCCCACCAGACTGGAGCAAGTTCTGGGCTTGTTGCTGGAATGCCCTCAGCTGGATCTCTCTCGCTGGGCTCCATTTCGAAGCAGTAAAGGCTGGAGGACCCCTGCTTTGCAGGGTTGCTGAGAGTAAAGCCAAGGAAAGGTGTATGACGCCTCCAGTCCAGCTGGAGCAGAGGTGCTGGTGAACAACAGCTGTACTTCCTTCTAGAGCTCAGGTCTCCTCTTCATTTCCAAGGCATGTCTGCATTTCAAGTGCCCGCACCTCATAACTAGCTCTTCAGGGATACACAGGGTACCAGGTTGTTTTGCATTGGTCCTATCATGTATTCACTGTGACACATGTGCCATGGGCACTGTTGGGCGCTGTGCTGGAGTGATAGAATGGTGAGCAGAGATGCACACTCTGTCTTCAACAGTTTTAGAGTTTAATGAGGAGTTGTGGGGGTCATCATTCACAGGGAACTGTGACCGAGTAATTGTGGGTGAGAAGAGCACAGTGGCGCTGTGAGTGCGGTGTCTGGGACAGGGATCCCCCTGAACAGGCACCTCCGTGCCACCTTGGATTAGCCAGTGGGTGAAGGAAGAGAGGTTGCTGCAATGGCAGCGAGCTGGAGGCCAGGCCTGGCTCAGTGGAGGGTTGGCATTTATCCCGCTATTCATGGGAAGCCATCAGGAGTTTTAAAATAGAGGAACAACACAGTCTGATGCATTGCATCAAGCATAGGGGGCCACCAGTGCTGGGCAGGGATCTTGGTGAGGGTGGGTCATTGTCCTCCAGCCAAGTGCTGGGCAGGCACGTCCAAACTCAGGAGCTGTTCCTGGGCAGAGAGAGTGGGACACACTTCACACACATCCACTGACTCATGGAGCAGCCCCTGTCTGTCACAAAGACCCTTACCATGCAAAAGGATGGGCTGGCTCGGGGCAGGCGATGGTTGAGCAAGCCATGGAGGTGTGGCATGGAAGGGACTCTGGACAGGTTCAGAGTGTGTGGCTATGGATGGCAAGGCAGCTGTGCTTTAGCCTATGTCTGCTGCACAAGGAGCCAGGGCCAGGAAGTGCCACCATGGGAGAGGACAGCCAGAGGCAGGTGGTGGAGAAGAGGGCTGGATCGCTGTCCGCAGGTGGAGGAATAGAGTGGTGAATATGTTGCACGCGTGTTCTGCTTTGGGCATCAGCTGAAGCTGTAGAGGGGGATGTTCCGCCACAGGTCCCAGCGCTCCTCTTGGACAGGTGTTCCCCCCTCTCTCTGGCCTCTCAATACCTGCGGCCTCCATTCTGTAGCCAAGGGAGTGTGGTGTGGCATTTGTGGGGTTTGGACGGATGGCACACCGAATTTGTTCACTTCTAAGACTGTGAAAGGGCCTTCCCCTGATAGCTGTCATACCAAGAGCAGAACCTCAGCAACGTGCTCAGCTGTGAAGGGACAGGCCATTGTGGCTATCACCAGATTGCAGTCAGCATATGCCAGAGGCTCTACTGAAATGGGGCGGCCACCCCAGTTCTGCGAGCACTTTGTCCTCCAGCTGAGGAGGCTCTTACAGGTACCATCATTCCATACTCCTGGGGGCTTAGAGTATGTGACAGGTATCCCCGGTGGGCAGGGCCTATACACCAGGATTTGCTCTGGCCAGACACATGGTGGAAAATGGGTTGTGTTACCACACCTGCTCCCATGCTCCCTGAGGCAGCAGAGGTTCAGGGTGGATCAGTGTGTAGTCAGGCTGCTGCCTGGCCAACGTGTCCCCCAAATTCCCTCCACGTGCCCCCTTACAGCTCTCAAGGCCTGTCTCTTGTGTAGGTGGCTGGTGTCCAGGGCTCTCTGCCCATTGCATGGGTGGCTTCTGACCCTGCCAGCCCTTTCTTGCCAGCACTGCCCTGCTGAGTCCCATCTGCCCCATACCCCCAATACAGTACACTCATGACAAACACACACAAAGTGTGTGTAGGTTGTGTCACATGCCTCCATTTCCCATCATGTCACAGGATGGGTTCAGTGCGTCAGGAGGACATGTTAGTATTTGTTGCTTGCTGTTCTCTTGAATAGAGACAAGGGGTTGCCATGTTTTCTCCTGGGCCACCATCCTATGATCACATGAGGCCACCATTCTGGCTTGGGAGTGGTCAAGGTGGGGCTCTGGCCAGCAGGAAACTGCATCAGGAAGCCCCCTGACTCCAGAGGTAGCCATTCCAGTTCCCTGTCCTGCCGGGGACACTGGCCATGCTGGGGCCTTGGGGTTGTCTTCCTCTGCAGCCGTGGAATGGTTGGGGAGCTAGAATGGCTGCTGTCTGCGAAGGACTGGTCCTCCTCTGACCCCTCCCAAGTGAGTATGAAGTGAGTTTCCTGTGGGCCCTTGCTGCAGGGTGGTTTCTGCACTATTTGGCTCCCAGGAAGACCAGGGGGCCCTCACTCAGGACCATGATTGGCCACGGAGGAGCTGGGGGGTGTGGCAGATAGGTGCTGGGCAGATGAAGGTGGCTGACAGAGTGCATTTGCTACCTGTGGGAAGGTAGACAGATGTGTGTTGTTAGGTATAAGCTGTGGATATCCAGCACATCACAGCATCCTTCCAGCATGGAACAGTGAAAGCCTCGGTGCAGATTTAAGTGGCAGCAGCTGAAGCCCTTTCAGCTGGAACAAATCTGGGTTCGTTATTTTCTGCTGTCAAATAGCAGCTCTGGCAAATCCTAAATGTTGTCTGTGGATTTAGCAACTGGGTAGACTTTCAGTAATTCCAGCAGCTCACATGTCTATGCCAACGCCTATTAGTCACACTTCGGATCCTGCTCCTTTCCCAGCCATGCCATTGCCTGCTAGGTCCCGTGAATGTGCTGGTGAGACCCCAAGCATGCCCAGGCTCTGGGGATGCTGGAGATGCTGGCTCACCTTGGCAGACAGCGGGGCACTCTGAACCCCACCTCATGCATGCTCATGGAAGTACATACTAGGGTTGGGGCCCTGAGCAGCTGGCTGGAAGTGCATCGTCTGTTTTGTTACTGTGGCTTATCTAGGGGATGCTGGCTGAGATGCTTCCCTGGGGAACCATCAAGATTACCATCTTCTTCTCTTCTCTTGGCTTGGTGCACTTTTGGATACCTGGGCCTGGCAGGTGTGACCCTGTGCCATGGACTCCTGGAGTTGAGTTGGGCCATCAGTGGAAGCTCAGCATCACAGTGGGACCTTAACTGCAACCCCAAGTGGGTAACTGCCCTGCCTTATCTGAGGTCTTATCCCCTGCCCAGGAGCACTTTGCTTTCTCCCAAGAGAAGCAGCATCCACTACTCTGCAGAGACGTGAGGTCTTCCACATCCAGCTGGTCACTGTGCAGCCCTTCTCCCAGATCCTCCTCCTCCACCTACTGACCTGGATAGATACAGCAGGCCAGTGAGAGAGGAAGGTGGCCTGCTGTGGACCCCAGGACCAACGACAAGAGGTCCTTTGCCATTTATGCATCCAGGAGGAACCTCAAGATTGCATATCCAGAACCAGCTACAGACACAGAAGTCTGTAGTAAAAGCTGGACGTAAGGGAGAGGCAGCCAAAGTGCAGGGAAAGCTTTGTGATTGTGTCCACCTGACTGGCTGTGTGCCAGGGAAGGAGATGCCCCTCTTCCCTGCCCACAAAGGGACACAAGCAGCAGCACATGGTCCCCACCAGTGCTGTGTGGCAGGGCTGGAGCCAGCTGTAATCCTTGCTCAGCTGAGGTAGATGCTGCTCTGACTGTCCTGCCACAGTGAGGTCAGCTGCTGAGCAGGGAGCAGAGCCTCCACCACACCCTCATTGGAGAGGCAGAGCAGGATGGTGGGGTAAGGAAGGAACCAGTGTCAGAGGTTTCCACCCACTGGCATGAGGCCATGGGAGGTGGCCCTGGTTTCCCCACCTCTGATGTCAGCCAGACACTGAGGGAAGCTGGGCTCATGCCCACCTGTCTGCAGGGACTCCACTTTGCTGGGATATGTCCATGACTAGCAACACTTCCTCCTGCCCCTGTCTGGCCTGGTCACATGGAAATGTTCCAGGCACCAGAATCTCCGAACACCGAGTGGGAATAGCTGAGTGGAGACATGGGCAGATGCACACCTGTGCCCAGGATGCCTGCCAGCACTCTTCACAGCTGG